TTGTGAATTTCAAGTTTAATTGCATTTACTTACTGATTGTGTCTGCACCACCACACTCGGTTTGTCTGCGGGCGATTGGTACATCTCCATATCTATCTTGCCGACACTGGGCGGCACGCCCACTCCTGCATCCACCCAGATTGGCACCTCGGAAGTGGTTCCCTTGCTGGAATTCCCCTTTAATATTATTGACGACATGGATACTATCTGGGCCGCGGTGCCAGACAGTACCTGAACAATGTCCAACAAACTTTCGACGGGCGTCATCACCATCAAACTGACGCTGGATTGCCCAGGGTTGGCTGCGGCCGTCAGTAGGGCCACCTGCTCCAACTGTGCTGCTGTCAGATTGGAGCAATCAAAGCTATCATCAGCAATCTCCTGCTTGGCCGTCTGCTGGCCACCGACTTCTGGCTTTTGCTGCAGAGTCAAATTTTCGCACTTCGGCAGCGCAGAATTTATACATTCAAGTATAGATTCTTTTGTAATGTGCTTCTCCGCTTCCAATTCTCCAATTTTATATCCATTTTGGCCGACCGGGGGGGGGACCACAATTAAAATTAATATTGAAAGACATTTTTACTACTTCTCTTCTTCATTCACTTCAACCACTCACATTTGACAAACGAGAAGTCGTACCGTACCGTTATGTTTTCGCTTTTCTTTTTGCTTTGCTTTTTTGCATGCTGCACACATACACATACATCCACATACATGGATGGACAAAAACAATACGTGATGCTTTTTAGTTGTATGTGTTCGCCTTAAAAAACTGAGGCGGCGATTACGAAAAAAGGGAAAACAACAGAAAACAGAAGAAACAGAACAGCCTGATACTTTGAATATATTTTCTTAATTCAATATTATATTGAATTATGTATTGTATATGCAAATATTGTATAGTAATAAATAGTAATATATTATAAAAAATAGTAAAATACCCAAAAATATAAAAAATCTTCAAAGTGCGCGCAAAAGGGAAGCGAAAAAACAGATTTCTGCAGTGTCACGCTGAAGCGTGAGACTGAAAAGTTTGATTTGATTTGATCATGATATGATGCATCAAATTGTGTTACCTTTTGTGCGTACTTTATCTGAGCAACAGGTACTTAAGGCGGTTAATTTTATAGAGCGGGAGAGTCAGGAGAGATACCTCTACGATGGCCAAATCAACATGCTCCACAATCTTCGGAAGTTTGAGATAGAGCCCTTCGTCCTCATTCTGGACGAATTCCATGTCAAATGGGATTGGCACGGGAAGTGGAAGGTGCTGGCCATCGCAGGTTTCAACCTCGATGCCTCCAATTTCAATTACCTGCACATGAAGCTGGTAAGTAAATACATATATTATATTATTCATATATTTATGTATAAACATAACCATTATTTCACAGGCCATGGTTGAGGATAAGATAATGGGATCTGAGGAGATAGATGACAGTCTATCCATGGTGCTGGAGGCCATAAAACGGCATGGGTACTCCAACCGGCTGATGGGCATCATATCTGATGGATGCCCCGCCAATTTGCTGACGAGAGTGAGCGCCGCCAGGGAGTACCCAGTACTTTGGGATATCGTACATCTGCGGAAGATTTTGGCAAAATATCGCGTTGTCGACAGAGTACTGAGCCCCGTTTACAATTTTCATTTCACTGCGGCAAAATGGCGGGATACGGAGTTCCCACCGGTGCGCGTGGATTTCCAGAACCGGATTGCAGAGGATCTTACACAGTTGAAGCATCTTATTGCACGTGTTTGTTCCTATCCTTTCCTACCATTCACCACACTGAACCGACTCAATAGCACCGACCTGGAGCTATCCGGCGTTGCCATAACGGCTATGGTGACCGACATTATATCAGATATGCCGATGGAGGGTCGTCGAATGTTCAAATTAAGTCCATACAAGTTTATGGCAACACTCGTTGGAGTCTCCGTGTTGGATACTCCCAACCCGGATGGAGTCCACCCCGGATAGGATAGGATAGGTATCCTATCTCCTATATAAGAGATATATGTACATTGAAAAAAAATATATATACACAGTGGCGTTTAATTTCAATTTTTACCTGCAAAGTATAGTATTAAAAGTTTGAGTAAAACAGTTTTTTGGGCATTGTAAAAACTTCTCTGAAAGAGAAGTAATTGTAAATGATTCTATCTCACTCTACTCACATGGGATTTCGATCCAACCAAAACACTAAACAACACTAAACTGAAATGTAAACAAAAACGCTTTACATTTACTTTACATTTACATTTACTTTACTTCAACCACGTTTCCACACGCGTTTCCAACTTCGTTTCCACACGCATTTTAAGGTCACGTGTGGAAACGAAGTTGGAAACGCGTGTGGAAACGTGGTTGAAACATTGTTGCGTTGGATGTTTCCAGGGATGTTTAGACACAATTTCTGTTCGACATGTTGCAGGATGACTTTTCCTTGTTGGCATTGTTGCCTCAAGTCACCGCCTTGCCTGTCAATCTGTGGCAAATGAGAAAACAAAAACCACGACTATCTTTATAAAATCTACGAAAAATCACCGCACCTACTATCTGCTTGCTCCAGAAAGCTTTCGTTTGGTTCTCTTGGGGCCTGTGTGTAACGGTTTTTTTGGAGCCCACTGTATTTCGGCCTCGCTGACATTGAGAATTCTGGAAAAGGGCGAGAGAGCTTTTCTGCGCTATCACTTTAACAGCGGGACTTTTAAGCTGCCCAAGCTTTTGGACAGCCTGCTGATAGCATTTACTATTCGCCCACCCTCCCCCTTCCATTCCTTGTTCAGATAATTATGATGGAACCGAACGCTTTTGAGCTTTTATACTTTGGACCACAACATAACGTCAAACATAACATAGACATACAGACTGTAATATGTACAAACATATATCTGGTCCAACGAGCAGGTGAGGTGGGTCAGCGGTGGCCGATTAGGCCAAAGGCCTAACCTCCAATTCACCAGCGAATAAGCGGCCATCCCAAAGAAGTTTTAGTTTTCTAGGGAAGTTTTCTTCCATTTTATTCATTTACAGGCCAGACTTAATAGGAAAGGAGCAGGCAGAAATAGGTGCACAGACACTCAGATTGTCACTCATCTCTCTTGATGAATTATAGCATCGTTTCAACTAAAACGAACTACTTCATTCTGCTGGAGTTTACAAAGATACCGCCAGGTCCTAGCCCTCTTTGCAGACCGATCAGATACACATATAGATAGATATAGATCCGCACAACATGGTAGCCGAGCTGACCAGAAACATGACAAAGATACTGTACTCTAATGAGAGACATTTAAGAAGTGCCCACCATATGCCCAAGAAGGATTGCAAGTTTTATAAGGGAATACGGATAGGATAACTGTTGACCATACGTCTGATTAAGGAAAAAAGGTGCCCAGAACCAGCGGTATCAAGACGACCCGAAACGGACCTACTGTACGTCAGTACCTCATCTCAACGTCCGATTCGGAAACACAGCTCCTTGAGCAATATCCAATATATTTTCAGCCTGTTTAGCGCTATACGAATCCAATACGGAAAGCAGATGTGAATAACCTATTTCGTTATCCTAATTTCGTTTTAAAGGTCAAAGAACATTTGTCTCGTGAAGCGTTTTGTGTATATTTATGCATTTATTTCCGGAATTCATTGTTAGACTAAACATAACATCAACAGTTTTGTATATTAGCAATAGTTTATTATGTTGTTTATTGTTTTGTTAGTGTACATCCCACGAATAAGTGTGGGTTTTGCCCTCTGAAGTTTATTTTTAAACGGGCTTCGTACTCGTAATTAAATTTGATAGGTTCAATATAGTTTTCACAAACAATTATAGTCGTAATTAACACAAATGTCAGATGTAAATATGTAGGTAATAGGTAATATTGTATTGTGTGGTTTTTGTATAGTATATTTTGGTTGTACTCGTAAAAGTGTATCAATTATTGTACATAAATATATATGTATAGTTTGTATGTATGAATGTGGCGTGAGTGTGGCGTGGGTTTTGTCTTAGTGTTTAACTCTTAAGTAAACATGATCCACATCATTACATAATTTTGCTAAATACTCGTATATAGTACTCCGTTTATAGATTGCAATTTGCATTAGATACAATTAAAAGTAACGCGAAATATATAATATTTGATTTGAGTCTGTCAAGGATACATATATGTATGTACTGTACTGTGTGTAGATATCAAATAATTTGAATAGAACACTCGTATAAGTAGATACCTTCATAGTGCGTAACGCTCTGTAACGATCTGTTAAATTGTTGATTTCGCCCTAATAATTGAATCGAACTGCTAATTTAAGTTTGTCATCGAAACAACACTGAAACTATTTGAGTTTACTTCGAGTTTAGGAGCAGTACTGGAATATCATGGAGTACTGGGTGCACGGAGTCAACTGAGAGTGCTGCATGTCCTGTGGAAGCGTACATATAAGGTATTGCAGTTCGAGATTACTCCCCAATGATTACCATCATTAACTTAATATATAGTATGTACAACGTGATCGGAATAACTTCTGGCTTCACTGACTGTCTTTATAGAGTAAGGGAGTCCGGAGGAAGAACATTGTACCTGGGCAATGCCCGTAGTAGCATTTGAGGTGTGACTATGTTTATAGTAGTTATATGTTATACGACATACACTTATGTCTGTCTTTGTGGGGAGTTTCAGCCGGCGATTGTTCGTACGTTTTATGGTTGTATCGTAGTTGTTCCATCTACTGGATTAAGACTTCTATCTTTAGCTTATAAGTCGATTCGATTCTGGGAAGTATGGTTCGGCTTCGGCTTCGATAAATCATTGGATTCAGTTACTTGGGTTCCATTTCGGTTCCTTCATCATATGTATATACTGTATATACTCATACACCTACTAAGCATTTACACCCTTTATCTGTATCTGTATCTTTGTATGTAGCTATATCTTTACTTGTATATGTTGTATATGTATGTATTTTGTAATTGTATGTATAAATATGTTTATGTTTATGTTTAGGTAGACATATATGTATGTATGAATGTGTGTTGGTATGTAACTATGTATCTTTTGAGCGCGTCCTTATAGCAGTGCCTTGCTCTTTATGCTATATAGTAGTAGTATTAATGTATATCCTCGTATTTGTCTTACACATTGCTTGCAGCTAATTCTGATACTGATTCTGTGTCATGGTCAGATCCATCTGGTTTTGCAAAGCAGCTTTGGGCAAAGTGTGGTAAATGCAGCTGGATTTGGCCTGGATCTTGGATCTGGATCTCGGTCTCGATCTGGACAGCTGGGAGGAAAGCCAAAGTGCGCCAAAAATAATGTACTCAGTAAATATGTAATCAGTATTCCCTAAGCTGGAATGATTCCGCATTTTGTATTTTTACTTTACTCGGATTGCTTGAGTGGGAAAATAATTGAATGTTAAATCAATGATTAGCCTGATTTGATTTTCCATCGATCAATTGAACAAGTAATTGCTATGCCTTGAATCCGCATCACCATCAAATGAAACGAAAAGTCATTTTAAATTCTGAAGATCTATCACTTCCTAGTAAATATTGTTTCGATTTATGCGCAACAATTTGCACCAAAAATTGACTTTAAACGTTCACTGTTCGTGCTTGAATATATGTGATTTGTATAATGCTTTTTAGTTTATTTATGCTCCCGCGCATACTATTTACATCCGAAAATTGACGCGATTAATTGCCATAAGGTATTCTTTTCTTTTCTTTTCGTTTCGTTCCCATTCTCTTGCTTGGCCCTTGCTTTCTTATTTCTCTGTTCTTTGCTATTCGAACTTTCTTTCGGAATCTAAACCCAAATGTCTTCGGCCAAACCTAGGACGATTCTCGTGGAATCGAAGTGGCTATATTATTTGAAAATGTATTATTTAAATATAAAAAATATACATACATACATGGGTGTTGGTTTTTTCATTCATCTTGTATATGAGAACAAAAATAAAACATCCGAAAACGTAAAAAAATTCGTTGCTCTTGTTCCGCGGCGCAGGGATCTGCGCTCCTGGTCTGGATCGACCAGCCCGGAGGCCAATAGTCTCTACGGGCGTTTTCGTGTACATCGACTGCACAAGAAATAACAATGGAGAGATCCTTAACGAGATACATACACTAAACTATAGAACTAAAACTAAAACTAAACTAAAACTAAGCGTGATCAACTGTTTAACAAAGCGATGCGATACAAAAGTATATACATGCAGATACATACTTATACGATAGACATACATACATATGCATAAATATATGTATGTTGTATAATGATCGTATAATTGGTTTGATTTGTGGTGTGAGAAGTTTGCGTTGTTCTGTTCGACTTGTTCCTTAAAACCGTTTTGCAACAAATTCCTCTGTTCCTCTGTTCATCTGTTGCTTGTTTAATTGCATTTGTCTCCCTATCTACAGTGCTATTTATCCGGTATGTGTACTTTAATTGTGGCTGCACTCTCGTACATATGTATATGGTTTGTTATTTGCCTAAATATCATTAAATATTGTATATGTATATGTTAGTAAATATATAATATATATAATCATCTTTTATCTTTTTATCTTTTTGGTTTATCGTTTCTCTCTTCGGTTGGTGCAATGTAAAAATCCATGTAAAACGCGATTTGAGTATTCAATTTGTCCACTAATTAACATTAAATGTACGAGTCGGTTCCTCTTACAATGACGAACTCCTGCGGTTGTGGCGGCTGTGGCTGGCGCTTCAGTTTGTTGTTGATGCGACTATGCACGACTCTCCTCTGAATATGAATATGCAAATGCATGGGTCTGTGCTATGTACTATGTATTGTATGCTTCTTTATGCACTATACTACACGAGTATATGGTACTTGGTGCTGGTATCCTCTTGGTTGCTTAGAAAGTGCCTGAAGGGGAATTAGGCAATAAGGCAATTAGGGGGAACGTCTTGTGGAAATGGTTTTGGATACTTACTGGGACATTCTGGTGGGTTCATATAGCCAAAGACATTCAATTCATAGAGCGACGCCAGCGTGATGAAGAACAGGTACCAGAGCATCAGAATTATACCCAGGCGCTTGTCCAGCTTCCAGCCGTTCAGGTGCGTCGAGAGGATCAGGAAGACGACGGTAGAGAAGAGCGAGAGCGTCGAGTAGGCGAGACCTGGAATGGTTGAGGAGAAGAGAAGGGCACTCAAAGATTAGACCGGGTGACGGCCAGGGCTGCTGCTACGTCAGCTAGGCGAACTGTTAGAACACTCATGCCAGGCATACCACACACATGTTGCATACGACGAGTACTACGGGCGGGGGAGACACAAACGGGCGGGCGGGGAAGGGGGAGATGGGGAGAGAGTACATACCCTTGGAGATGACATTCACGTGCGAGCCGGGCTTTATGATGGCCGTTTGTATGAACCATGGAAGACCTAAGCACACTAGGATATCAAAGACATTCGAGCCAATCGCATTCGACACGGCCATGTCGCCGTAGCCCTCTTTGATAACGGCTATTGAGCTTAGGGCATCCGGCACAGAAACGCCAGCAGCCACGAAGGTGAGGCCCATCACGGTGTCGGGGATGGCCAGGGTGGACCCGATCACGGTGATCATCCACACCATAAAGTACGAGTAGAACGAGATCCAAACCATCGATAGCAGGAAGGTGAACGGATACCAGTTGCGGAACTGCTGCTGCCGGCAGTCGGGCATCGTCTTCTTGCACAGGAAGTGTATCGGATACACTACATACCAGGCAACCAACGCTGGCAGACCGCCCTCCGTCGGTCGCATTAGGGGATCTGGGCGGGGCTCGCGCTGCTTGTCCGTCGACTTGTAGTAGTCAACGCCACTGGGAGCAGGAGCGCCCACCAATTGGCCTTTAGCCGCACCTGCACCTGCACCCGCACCCGCGGACGCCGACGCAGCCGCAGCCTCGCCCGTCACAACAGACTCGGGCTGATCGGAGTTGTAAGCCATGTTCTCCTGGCCCTGTCCCTGGCCTTGACTGAATTGCCCCATACCCCAGTCGTCGACCGGTGGTTGGCTTGGCCTGGCACTGGCGGCCGCTGGCTTCGGTTGGTTCTCCTCGCCCCAGGCGGAATTCGGGTCCCAGCTGGCATTGGTGTCGCTGTAGTTCTGATAGTCGCCCTGGGGTTGGGTGATACTGGCGTCCACGCCATCGCTGGACTCCTTGGACATGCTCGTCTGTTGCTGTTGTCCCTGTCCTGCACTGCCCTGGGTGTAGGAGCTCTCGGGAACATTCTTGTAGGTCACCAAGGCCGACTGCTCCTCCTTGCTGGGCAGCTTAAACGGCAAGTTCAGCCCGAGGGCCCAGCGCTCCAGCTCCGTGTTGAAGTGGAGGGCCACGCAGTATCCCACATAGCAGAGCAGCATCACCACGGACTCGAACTGGGGAGAAAGTCGAAGATTAGTCTGCGGTCTTACGTGGCTTTTCCTGCACTCTCCGCGCACTTACACAAGAGATGACGTCGTTGAAGATAATGATCAGCATGACCAGGATAGAAACGCAGTAGAAGAAGCAGTCCCGCACCAGTGGCCACCAGTTTAGCTGGCAAACGGTTCCCGAGCACAGGGCACAGACGGATATCACGAACATAATATTGAACACCGCCGAGCCGATGACTCCGCTGATCCCAATGTCGTCCTTGGCGAAGAACACCCCTATGACCACGGTGGCCAGTTCGGGGGCCGAGCTGCCGGCAGCCATGAATGTGGCGCCAGCCACATCCGGAGAAAGCTTTAGCTCTGTAATAAATATTTGGAGTTAGTAGAGCGCCCCAGCGGAAGCTTCGGTCCGGTCCGGTCGGTCCAGTCCCTCAAGTCTCCGGGCTCACCTTCGCACAAACGGTCCAGGCTGGCCACGAAGTACTCGTCGCACACGATGGCCAGGCCAAAGAAGGTGTAGACGGCCACCAGAATGTGCAGGATAAGTCCGCCGTGCTGACGCGCCCACTTGTTCATCAGTGGCTGAGGAAACTGCTCGATGGCCGGCGGGGTGCAATTGTCGCGCTTGGGACGCCAGGTCGGGACGGCTCCATGCAAGTGAGTGGGCTCGGTGGCTGTCGGGGCCTGTGGAGGGAGCAATTGGGTGAAGCCAACCAGTGAAACGCCTATCAGACCCTACTCACATCATACGGCGTGGTGTTCTCGAGCTCTCGATTCATCTCGGTAGTTACTTCTCCATTAGCTTCGGCATCGCCTTCATCCTCGGCCAGGCCCACGTCCAGTGGTAGCGCCGATCCCTCCCTGGTGTCGCCCTTGGCCGAGTAGATGCTGACGCAGTAGTAGATCAGGAAGAGCAGACCCATGTTCCACATACGGGAGCGACGGGACCGGCGACGTACGATCTGTGTGCGGAAACGGAGGCTAGGGATTAGAACTCATCAGCCAAAGACAATGGGGCCCACCCTACAGGAAAATGCGACTGCTAGGAAAGTGCGGCTTATGTACGCGACGTTGCAGCGCCTAGAGGCGTCAGCCCGAGTATATAGAAACAGAAGTACCTACTCATTCAGACCTACAAGTCTACGAGTGTGTGTACCTAAAGGGCAATTCGCAGCACGCCTCGGATAAAATGGCAAGCTTATAAGGTTTATTGCCACCGACTTTGCTTGGCTTTGTGGTACTCGTACTGTGCCGGCTTGTGTCTGGGGGCCTGGCAGTGGAAATTGGATACCCGGCCTGAACTGCAGCCGTCAATCCCAAATGTAAGTGCAAGCAAAAGAGAAAAACACAACAACGACATCAATTTGCTGCGAGTGTATTGATACCCTGGATGAAAACAGGCTCCTTTCATGGTTAAGAGCAATTTTCTTACTACTGAATGGCACAAGACTTTCCATTAATTTATCAGCAAATTGTACTGCAGAACATCAACAATGAAAGTGAACTTTTCTATTTTGTGTTTATATACCTCTTATCGGAAATATACCAATAAATTTACGATCCTTGCAGAGCTTGTCTAATGAAAATGTTTAAACGATCGATAGATCGATAGTTCCTATGTCATATATGTATATGTATGGCCTTAACGACTGCTCTATCCTATGAAAGCGGGAAATGACAGATTGGCCTGCAAAAGTGCTTCCTTCTGTCCAAAGAGAAGAGCAACCACAGTACTCAGACATGGAGAATGACCGATTGGCTGACCAGTAGGTCTGACTTGAAATGAAATTGAATATCCGTTAGCGCTAGCGATTTGTGCAGTTGTCTTGCCAATGCACAGCCAAAGACCATTGGAGTTGGGTGACATTCAATACGGCACACTTTGCTCTTGTGGGCTCAAGGAAATCTAGAAATTAGAGGCGTCAATGCCGTGGGCACACTGATGTGTTTCACCTCATCCCAGAGTGATAAGCGCTCAGTAAATATATGTACCAGCAAGCAGCACTAAACTCAAGGCCCGTGGGGCGCTGAGAGGTGAGGCGGATCGGCAGGAACGAGAGTACTCGCACTATATACATTCGAAAGCATCCCGTGGGTCCACAGACATCGTATGACATCATATCCTACAAGTCGTCGGGGGAATCCTTCAATCACGACGCATACTCGTAAATGTTTTTGAATAAATTTGTTTCTTAGTGGCAATTTGGTTGATGTTGCAGATTTTGCTGTTGTTGTTGCTGCTGGTGTGATAACAGCGAAAATTTGCAGCAGATGTCAGGGGGTACAAGAAGAGAGAGAGAGAGAGAAAGGAGAGAGCGAGAGCAAGAGCAAGTGGCGTTTTTCACCACAAAAATACACAAACGATGAATGGTGGGCGAAGAGTGGGGGAGTGTTGTCCCCGTCCACCTCGGCGCCTGCCTTGTGGGCCACTCGGTCATGCCGCATAATATCGATTTACTCGCACATTCATGGACCGACCCCCTCCTCTTCTGTTCTTCTGCTATTCCACGAAGCTTTTACTCTTACGCGCTGTTGGGTAAGGTGGCTGAGTGGGGGGCTGGGCTGTAGGTGGAGCGCTTTTCGCTTGACTTTTGCTGTTAGTTACAGTTGTTGCTGTTGATGTCGTGTGGAGGGGAGGTGGTGGTGGGGGAAGCAACGATGATGTCGTCAATGACGCTCGCAAGAGTAAAAGGAGGCTGCTGGCAACCGACCCAGCGACCATCTTATAAAAATAAATGGCTGCGCTAACTAAATAGATGAGGAAGGAAGTGTCGGCGGGGCTTGTGGCGCGGACTGGGTCGGACTGGGGCGCCTCGGCTTACATCATACACACTCGTGTTTTCCTCAGCAGTGCAAAGACAATGGGAGGACTCATGAAAGGGATAGAAAAGAAAAGCAAGAGCAGGAACAAAAATAAAGGAAAGTAGACAATTGACTTGCAATTTGCATAAAGCCAAAGGGTTGGGGAAGGGGATGGGGTTCGGAACTTGGATGGATAAACAGGGGCTCAGCTGATTAGGCCCACACCCACAGCTCACACCTCACGCCCCCGTGCAGGCCCATTTCATAATCACTTTTTACCATTTTGCTTATTGTGCCTGGGGCTGTGGATTGAGCTAAACTTTTCACTGAAACTCGGCTTGAAATTCGATGTTTGCTCAGGCTTTTTGTCAGTTGCAGTCGTTAGATGGGTTTTTGCGGAAAACAGATACAGAAGAAAACCGTTGCATTGGAAAACATGTGAGGAAATGTGGCCTGGCCTGCGATTTTCAGTGTTCACTTTTCGTTCTCGGCTAGGGCTACTATCCCGGTAATCACTCCCTCCACTCCGCTCCACGCGCTGCAGCTGTTTTCGACCAGCAGTTAGCTTAGTAATGCATTTTTCCACCGAACCGTTATTATTTAGTTTTCCGTTTTTCCGTGTTCTTTTCGAGGGGGAGAACGGGACCAGTTCTGTGGTGTGTTGGTGTTTGTGTTTCTGTTTCTGGTGTGTGTGTGTGCGGCTCGGCACGAGTACGGGACCGAGACCAGGCGCGAGCTTTGTTTTGCGAGCGATGTGCACTTATTCGCGTTTTAATTCATTCGAATTCATAATTTAATTCGTTTTTATTCAGCAGCAGCAGCGCCAACCGACTCCACCGAAATTCAATGCGCACTGGTGGCGCGTCGTCAAGTCTGCCGCACAACTTCGCCTCAGAGGCAGGGTGGGGTGACAGAAACCCACCACGGCCGAGTGCGTCGGCAGGAAATGTCAGAGTTGCCAACTTTCTGAGACTGTCTCCCTCAGCGCGCCATCTATGGGAGCTTTACGCTACGGCCAAAGCTGGAATTTGAACGAAATGTTTGGTCCGTCTCCAACATCGGGGTTTGGAACTGTTGAAAAATTGCATTACAGGCGAACAATGGCCCGGCATCGCATTTATGGGTATTTGTTTGATTATTATTTATATGCGCCCTCCCCTAGCCACAAGCGTCAAGTGCATTGGCCTGGTCAATAGCAAATAGCAAACAGCAAACAAACGATCTTCCATTTGAAGTGCCGCAGAGGACATCAATTGTCTGGATTTTGCCACATTATCCTTTACATTGAGCCCAGAGCCCAGACGATGCCGATGATCGGGCTCTTTCTGATGTGCAACGTGACATGGCTACATGCTGCACCCTCTGATCTAGCCGCCAGCTCTTGCCCCGTCGGCCTCTTGCAAAAACAAAGACAGCTCGGGGAGGACACTCTCGCTCTCGCTCGTCACTTGTAAAAATCGGCATCGCAGTCACAATGACGGATTTACCTGTTGACACCTCACAAATAGACAATTCTGCTAATTAATAATGGGAGCGCTCTCGAAACTCGAGACTAGAATCGGTCCGGCAGGACCAAGAAATATGACGGCTCTCCGAAATTCAATTGTAACAGGTTAAATGGCTCAATTATTAGTCGGTACATCACAAGCCTCATGGCTTGGCGAGGTCGGGCAGACATTCAGTCTGCGAAACTCGGCTCTCGAGTAACTGGCCGCAGTAGTTCCCGGGAAACGGAGCGGCTGCTCCTTTGAGTTGACGTTCACAGAAGTTACGCAGAAATATGACTTTGATTCACGAATTTCAGGGATTGGATGGTGGGCAATGAGCAGCTTAGAGCTGCTTTGTTCGCTATCCACTATTAAGGTTTTGTTAGCTGTCAAACGTTAAGGAGACGTCGGAGTCGTTAAGGCGATTGTAAATCAAAGCCAATCACGGGAGCTAAAGTTGTTGCATACGATATGGGATGAGCGATGAAGATATGAGAATGTGGGATGCGGGTGAATGGCTTACGGAAGGTACTCTTTGTATGAACAGGTCCACGGCTTTCGTTAACTTGAAAGAACTTTAAATCACAGAATAAATAAATGAATGCAATAGATGTACATTGTACATATGTATACGGTCACCCACAGCTAACGTTGAAAATTAGAGAAAAGATTTCCGGAAAACCGTGTAATCGGGAAATAAATAATGCCACTAGCATACAGTTTTTCTTTCTTACATATGCTAATCATCAAATATGCCATAAGCTATACTATAATCCAGGGACCGCAAAGAGTTATGAATGCAAATTTTACCCAAATAAATCAATGGTAAGGAAGTATTTTACGCTAACTATAAAAAAAAACAACTTATATTTTCCAATTTTAATTGAAAAAATAAACACGCAAAAAAACGCATATTTTTCATTATTTCAATAAAAAGAATAATTAAATTCCATATTTATTTTAAAAGTTACAGGTTCGGCAATCTGCTACAGATGGTCATTATGCCACAGATTTTCGTTCTTTGGGGGCGGAAGGGGGCGTGCTGAAATTTTGAAACAAACTTGATTCAGTGTGAATTCACGGGAGTCTGGATGCAAATGGCTTTACCAATTCAGCAATTGATGCTGATCAAAAATATATATAGTCTTTATTGGATCGGAAACGCTTCCTTCTGGGAGTAACACACATCCACTTCCCCCACAACTCTAATATAGCCATGTCTGACTGTCAGTCTGGCTGTCTGTCTGCCTTGTTAGATTCCTAGCTTTCAGAGACTATAAGAGCAAGACAAACCCAATTTGGAATCCTGACTCCTGTGATTTCACACCTAATCAAGAACAAAAATCTGCGGCATACACAATTTTGAAGATAAGAGAAAACCAAAACCCAGAATCATAGACAAAGACATATTATATAGGCATATTATTGCCAGAAGGAACAAATAAAATGGGGTAATCATGTAAGGAGTATCATCAAAGAGTAGCACTTAAACTTCATTCCTAAATCGAAATTAGCCCATTCAAAACAAAGGAGAAAAAACACACAGTTTGTGTGCTAATTAATTACTCAAGTACATTCGATAGAACGCAATAAACATTCCAAGAGAAGATGATTCCCATTTGGTTGTGGATTGTATTTTTTGGCTGTTTTACTGCGATCTGCCTTCAATAAGTGATAAGGACACATACAAACACGATCGCTGACACCAACATTTCAATTACAGAGCATCCATGCTATCGAATTTCTTTATCAGTAGATTTGCATACATATATAACTCCATCGTTAAGCTGGCATCCAGGGCATTGCCCCTCATAGCTGGCCTGGAGGACAGCCGCATACTTCTACTCGAATTGTCCGGCATATCCATGGCTTGAGCCTACACTACTCTCCAAGTAATCAGTAAGCCGTTGATGGTTAATGGTTGAAAGGGATAATTTTCTTTTGGCTGGTTTCTAGTTTGATGTAAGCTCGATGTTGCCTTATTGCGCTTTTTTTACGAGATGGTCATAATATTTCTGAGCAAATGTCAATGTGCGTTAAAGGGGGTTTGAGCAGAGCAAAAATTTAATTTCCACATTCGCTGTATTGGATTTGGAGACAACCAGTTTGCCAGAAAGAACAGACGAACGAATCCAACAAGATAACGAAAATGTGCGTGTGAGCATGTAGCGATGGCATAAATCTCAATAACAAGAGGCACGATCGTTCCGTTGGTTCGTAATTGACACTCACAGATAACGCGAAAGGTACTACGAGCACCTTCATCCGCTTTAGAGCCAAATATTAAATATTCCGCTCATTCGAAAGTGCTGATATGTGCCATGGACAAAGATTGTCGTTATTGTCATAGGCTCAAATTCAAACATGACTCAGTTGTTAATGAAAAGTGCAACTACCGGAAATTGGGACACCACCAGACCATTTAAACGGTTCCTGAAGTCGCGATATTGCTTTAAATGGTTCCCGGGTCATCCAATTATGTATGAAATATACTGAATGAGTTGTCTCTAAATGTCAGAACAGGCATAAAGAATCTAACGAAAATATAAATACACATATCCGAAGCTTATCCAAACCATACCTGGATGACATTTTTCGAAACATCAGCTTAAAGCCTTCTATTAAAACAAGTCTTTAATGTTCTCCTAACATTTAAATAATAAATAGCCCAGTCTTCGGCAGTCAACAGCAGATTCTACGATTACACAGATTATTCAAGTGCCCGTCGATAGTTCATAATCGTATTGATCGTATCTTCTAACATTTCAATAATGAATTACCTAACCCCCTGCAGTCTTGTAAAATATGCCGACATCAACCGTAACCAGCCACACCTTCATAGGTCTGAAGGAACCTCTGCCCCTCGCAGATATGAATGAAATGCCTGAGTGACTCCCTAGGTGGCATGTTTCATGGGCCGTCCAGTTTCGAATTAGTTTATAAACTAAATACAAATATGGTGACTAAAATGCGTTACCTAATCGATTTAATACGCTCAATTTGAGCGGCGACCCAGTGTCTGCCACAGGAGCCACAGGCCAGGACCCTGCCGCTAGCCACATTGGCGACCGCATTGCCGCAGGACGAAGTGGCTACGAAAGGTGGCTGGTACTCCGCTGGTACTCCGAGCCGATGCGAGAGTCGAGCTCGGACAAAGGCCCGCCAGTCACAATGGAAAAGCAGAGTCAGAATCGAGTCTTCTTTTGACGCAACTGCCCGAAATTGGCCCGCTCGTCATTATTTATATGCCACTTTCTATGCGGACAAAGCGAGGGAAGGTGTCAGCCAGAGGTGTCGGGACAGGACAGCCCCTCTCCCAGATGCGGTTGCCCGGCGCAGATCACGGCGAAGACATGCCACAGTCCGTCCCCGTCTTCGGCTCTATTGTCTCATTGTTTTGTTCTTGCTTCATCGAGTGGCTTGGCCGTGGTTTATAGCGAAGATGAAAACGGGTAGGGACTGTGGACGTGGACGTGGTCGGGGACGGGGATGCGACGGAGCAATCCTTTGTCTGTGGCGACTCAATAAAGAACTTATTGTGGACAAATTTCGACATTTTTGAAGCGCTGTTTACGGTTTGGTTTGTCTCTTATGTGCTCGGGTGTATGGCGTTCCTCTTCTGGCACCAAAGGACATGCTTGACTTTTAACAGGAATCAATTTATTTTATGCGAAATAATCGTGTTGATGGCTGCGTTCTCGCCCCTTTTTCTCCCTCTTTCAGCCTTTTTCTCTCTCTCTCTCTCTCTCTCTCTCTGTATACATATATTTCTATCTCCAGTTTCCCCCCACTGCTGGAATTTGGGTTTGGTTTGTGGTCGCACCATCCCCGACCCCGGCCTCGGCCTCTGCCTCTGCCAAAGCCCCGGCTCAACCCCCTAACACTGAGAGCTGGCAAACCCTGAGGGCTGTGACGGGGTTTGGGCCATGGTCTCGGCCTTCCCTTGGAGCGCATAGGTGAAGAAGGGTGGAAGTAATTTTAATTTATGATGTCAATTTACAGTAGTTTTTGCGGTTTCCCCGTCAGATAGTCGGATATTGTCTCTGCAGCAGGCGCAGCAAATCTGATTGGGAATGAATTTCACTATAGGTTCGTTTCCAACTATCAACGAACGGCAATCAATCAATTCCCCAAAACACTCTTCATTACTATTAGGGTTTTTTTTCGAAAAAAATATACTTTTTGTAAGCATTTTTTGTTTTTCATTTGGATTGCAGATCCACACGAGCGCAACTGCCAAAAATCGGTGGGCGATCAATCAAAACGAACTCAATATTTTGCAATCTCAACAATTGCACGGCCCTCAGAGGACGTGGGCCATGGACATGGGCTAGCGAG